CTACATCTCGAGTTCGGTGACTATGACATCGTAACATCCCCAGTCCGGCCGGGGTTGATGACTATAACCTCGAGGCTCCGACAAGCATTGGGGATTACACGTGCCCCGCAGCATGTGTATAACTGCACCATACAAAATGTCAAAAGTTTCACGCCGGGTTACGGGGGGGCGCACGTGAGCCCGCACGACACACAAAAATGCAGCAGCTCCATTTCCGGGTCGATGGTGACACGTGCATGGTAGTGCTGCGCAAGGGGCCTGCCGTGCCACGGGCCGTGGCTGCAGAGGCAGTGCGCAAGTACAAAGCTCAGAAACGACTCAACGGCTAGACCAGATCTACCGCCGCTCACGGCCCAGTCCCAAAACGGCCCCGGCCAGATGCTCCGCCTTGCCGTTGCTTTTGCCGTTGCCCTTGCCGAAGTCGCCCTTGCCGACATGGGCACCGCATCCGTGTCCGTGCACGCCGCAGCGACTGGCAAAAACAATCGCCGCCACCGCAGCTGAGCCATGCGGCAACATGCGGGCGGGCGGGACTGCGAACGCAGCATGGCTTGGGCAGCAGGGTTGCAAAGCAGGCCACACTTCGAAACTAGGTAGAACAGGCGCGGGAACTATCGTGCTGCCAGCCTTGGCGAGGGGGGTACATTGTCACATTGTTGTTGAAATCCCCCCGCCCACAAAATGCGCCCAATATATCCGTAAGGGCAAGCCACGCGAGGCAAAATCTGGATCCAATGAGTGCTGCGTACAAATAAATGCTGAAGTGATCTGAACTGGTTGGGCGTCGTTGTCATGACCACTGTCTTCTCGACGTTCAGAACGAAGGCAACCTTGTCGCAGCGATAAGCAAATCCTTCTATGAAAACGAGGGTATCATCAGCAATGTGAAAGTCCGTCGGCACAATCGATTGTTCAGGCAAAGTCGCTGTCAGGCGAGGGCGTTGCAGTTGCCAGCACCCTCGGTTGTCAAGCGCTTGGCTGGATCATCGTCCGCATGCACATGACCACGGCAGTGTCCCTCGAACCCCTGACCCAGCAATGTTTGATGAACTCGCCAATGTCAACATCAGGGTGTGTCTCAGCACGGTGTCTATCGCGTGTCTCCTTAATCTTCAGCCGGGAAGCCTTGGCAAGCTATTCGCTGCATACTGTTCCTATCAGTGAAGACCTGGAACCGTTCTACATCCACGGCCAAGCCCAAAAGCGAGTGGTGGCTTTCGGCTGCAGGGCGACAATGACAGCTTGCCCATGTTCATCCTGAACGTCCGAACTGCACCGGCTGATGCGAGGCGGCGGTGGTGATGATGTTGCCAGCGAAGTCCGTTTGGATCCGGTCGTCGGTGGCCTCGGTGTGGACATGGGCGACCTCTCGACCTGCTTCTGATGGTGCTTCGCGTGCACGGGCGGCCTCGGCTTCTTCAACGCGGGCTTCTTCAATAACATCGGCGGTTTCCAAGTGGACACGGGAGTCTCTTCAGGGTGCTGGTTTTGGTGCGTCAACGACAAAGGGCTGTGTGCTGGGGACTTTCCTTGGCTCCACTGACGGCCGCAACGGCGACCGCAGAATTCAACCTTGAGGATTTTGCGACAGGTGGGAGCCGGAGTGGCAAGAGCACCTTGGCCGAATATTATGCTCGGAAGTCGACTTGTCACCCGGCTTTGCCGACGGCACCTTCGTCGAGAAGTGTGGGTACTGCGCCCATGTGATCAAGGCGGACACGTCCCAGGGCCTTAGTCGGAACAGGTACAACCACTACTAGCCATGGCGCCCGGACCTGACTGTACCTAAACCATCCTAAACCCAAAAGCCTGAACCCTAGGTAGCCTTGGCTCAACTCACGCCCTAAACCGCAATAAGCCCGGATTCCCCGGACCCTGCTGGTGCTATCCTGAATCCCTAAACCGCCCTAAGCCGCAATTCAGAACTTTTCTGTCGCTGCGGGTTGGGGGTTGGGGGGGTCTCGCCGTAGATGGCACCATCTCGTCTTCCACGCAACAGCTGGCTCTGACCGACGGAAAAAATTCTGCTGGGACCGCTACGGGAAAGGGGCAAAAGCAAGCGTTCCACTCAGTGCCTGCATCCGCCTCAAACCGGATCATTGGTGGTATGTCTGTGGACAACACAGGGATCACCGGCTCAGTCTGTCGGAAGCCCTTCCCTAAAGCACACTCTAGCCGGTTGGCGCTGCAATCATTACGGGGCCAACATCGGAAGTGCAGCAGGGGCAGCGTGCAAGTAAGCCTGCGTGTACGAACGAAATCAAGATGGGCCAATTGTCTTGCCATGGCAAGTGCAAACACCCGTGGCTCGTGGAGTAACTGCAAAGCAAGGTGCAGCATCCGGTGGATCTGCGGCTTGTAAACAAGGTGTGAAATACGGAACACAGCGCAAGGATGCGCAAGGTTCCAGCAAAGCCATTTTGCGCCGTGACAACCCTGCTCTTCGGCAGTGGAACTGGGGGAAGTTGGCGTTGGCGGGGGCAGCCGGGAAACGGTTCGTCGGAAGCGAGGCGGAAACCAGGTGGGCAGGGAAACGAACCAAGGCAGGTGGGTTTTTGGCCTATCACGTGGTGAGCGGGGAAGATTTATGGATTGCATCAGTACAGCGAGGTAAGAAGATGAAAGCCATCGTGCGACGTGGCGCAGCGTCTCACTGTGTAATACCGTCGTTTCGTTTACCCGCTGCCTGTGTTGCGGCTGCATCGGTGTGGCTCGCCCGGAGGGCAACAACCTTGCAATCCAGACCGATCGTAGTGCCCGACACGACACTGGTCTTCCAATTGTTTCTGATTGTATGCAACTCCAGATGTAAACCACGTGCCCCGTTGCTGTCTGGCCTGAGCCTAACTGATGAGGTCTGATTTTCTCTCCTCTGCCATGCCAGTAGTATATTGTGGGATCGCCTCGCACTGCTGCCACCCCACGGAACCAGGCGCAGGAATCACCAAAAGTGAGGGAAGTTTCCAGCCACGGATGACGTCTACAGCCCCGGACCCAGTAATTACCACATGTGCAACTTGCCTCGCACAAGGGCGGGTGCAGACCGGAGGGTAAGGACGTGGGACCAGCATGCAGCATGCGCATAGAGGAAAGCATCGTCGAGTACAGACTAGCTGAGTCGACCGCACGCCTGGAGTGTGTCGGCGCCGGCAACAGGATCAGGGCCACGGGCTCTGCGAAGCACGGCGATGGCACCCGAGCTGAACGTCGCTCAAGGGACTGGACGTTCTGTCTCGTCAGGCCGTGTGCTGCGGGCAGGGGTGGCCGAGAAGTTCTACAGTAGCCGGGCCTCATGCGCTTACCCACGGGCCCGGCAAAACAGACGGCCGGCCGGCATGTGTGCTCGTGCTAATTCGAGCAAGGGGTGTAGCCGGCAGAGGCGCAGGGTTGTGCCTTGCCTTCTCAAGGTAGAGGCTGCATCACGAGTCAGAAAACCCCTGCCCGCACAGCCGCACAGCTCAGCGTTCTCCTCCAACCCTGCAGAAGGCCGCTCCTCGCGACGCGCAACTCAGCGAGATGCCAGCTCAGCGTGATTGCTGAACGATGCTGCAAGGGGTGTGCCAAAGCTCCAATGATGGATGGATGGATGGATGG